GGGGGGGGTCATCGTTGCGACTGAACCAAAGTGCGTGTTTTGAGCAGCCTTCGATGGACAGAGAGAATACCTTTGAGCCGAACGACCATAAACATTGTAAGGGTTTTGTGGAGGAACTCTCCATTATCTCATGGAGTAGGGCGATCATAGTTGACAAATGAGACGCGAAAGAATGCAAGTAGTTTTACTTAAATAGCAGGTATGTTTGACTGAAACGTGGATTGCTAAAGAGGATGTAGTAGAAGTCGAATGTTATGTGTTTCCTACAATGTATGGTGTCTGGTTTGGTTTAATTTTGTTTAACGTCCCATTAACAGCTAGTGCCATTTAAGGACGTTCCTCCTCCATGCATGTGTGTGTGTGTTAGTCACTGTGTGTGTGTGTTAGTCACTGTGTATGTGTGTGTGTGTGTGTGTGTGTGTGTGCCGGAGACAGGGTCTGTTGGTGTACTTGCCTCCGTGTGATAGCGCGGATCTGATGCCGACTTTATAGTGCTATCTCGCTGAAACACAATGTCGAAGGCACCCAGCACAGCATTCCGCCCTGTCACATTATACTGACAACGGGTGTATGGTAAATGTGGTGGAATCGTATTTTCAATAAATCATCGACTCGCGATTATTATTATTATTATTATTAGTGTTATCGATAACATTAATGATAGCATAGTATTGTGGAATATTGTTGAATCCAGTAATGTTACAAATCTGGACAGTGATGTACGTGTATTTTCAACTAATTAATATTATTGTTTCCAGAAATGTGAAAATGATAGTTTTAATAGCCTTGAATAGGTGGTACGTAAATATAAATGTGTAGGACAAATGATATTTTAGGAGATTTCAATATTAAAGCGGGTATTTATGATGTCGATGTAAGTAATTGATATATAAGTAATCAACATCCAAGGGCCGACGAATGTTTTTTCAAATTCTGTAAATTATATTGACGACTCTGTACCATCCTGACGTTCGAATTCTGATCCTAGTATCAACAAATGGCAGACAGCTCATAACACTAACTAAAACTATTCCTTATATGTATTGTAAATAAACGGGGGGGGGGGGGGGGGGGGGTTGATACAGGGGTATCTAGTGTTATAAATTAGGTATTGACTTTGATGATTTTTTTTTTAACGTATAACATTCACTTTGAGATAAGAATATTTTATGTTCGTCAGACCATTCATAGATTCAAAACACAGCTGTACCTAAAAATGGTTGATAAAAATACTAAATATATACTTGTGGAATCAAATTGAGGAACATTCAGAGAAAGTGCTGTATTTATAGGGAGAAAATAGCAAACAGTTCATCATAAAACTGAATATAATACAAAAGAATGAATTGTTAGATTATTTAATCCTTTCATCCCAATGTTTCTTTAGTAGACTCTACCATGCATCGATCTGGACGAGTCCATTATGGTCTACAGTGGTGAAAGGGTTAAATGTTATTACGCCAACCAGTGGAAATGTTAAACATATTAAAGTGGAGGATACGCGTTCTGTTTGCGTGTGGCTGAAAATAACAGCTCGTCAATTAGTGATTTTATTGTTTATTCTTGAGCTATGTTTATTTTGTAATAAAGGCGTGTACACATATCGAGGCAACATTGACAGTAACCCCGTCATCTTGACGCGATACACAGAAACGATGCGATGCCAACGATCAACGATGCGCAAACGATGCCTTAAAATGGAACATTGGAACGGGGTTTTAATGTGGTAGAAGAAGTTGACCTTTGACCTTGATTCAATCAATATTGTCACATAATCAGTTCATATTGTTGCAAATTGAAATGAAACCTAAATACCAGTAGGTCTGTTGCTTTCGTGCACTTAAGGTAACTGTTCGTTCCACTCGGTAGAAATGGCTACATTACCTTTGGGTCGTGTTACTTTCGATCTGGAACATGTTATAGAGGATCCCAAGTAAGGACGAGCTAATAGGCGTGTCCCGTACCTACAATGGACAACACATAAGTGAAACATAGATCTCTCCAATTAATACTTACCTGTGGCACGAAACAAAGAGCAAGCTTTGAAATTCAAGTGACGTTGGAAATTAAAATATGGTTTCAATAGTTTTAATTCAAAAAGAGATCAACATTAAAACTTTAGTCGACCAAATCGCCATACCCTTGAATAGACTGCTTTAAATAAGGCCTCGGGGTCGCTGATGTTCACGTTCCCCGCCTCCCGCATTTCCTCCATCGCTTCCTCATCTGCGCCGCACTCCTCATCAAATACGTCACACTGTAAGTTAAGTTCGGGGTCGTCCTCAACGCGCAGGTTCGAGATGGTGCTGATGATTCCAAGATCTGATTTGACGATAGAATTATAAGATTTGGTTTGTTTGATTTAATTTCGTTTAACGGCCTGTAAACAGCTTAGGTCATTTAAGGACGTGCCCCCATGTGTGTAGTGTATGCGTGCTTGCGTGTATGTATGCAGGAAAAAGGGTATGCTGGTGTTCTTGCCTCCTCGTGATAGCGTGGATCCAATGCCGACTTTATAGTGCTATCTCACTGAAATACCATGCCGAAGGCACCAAGCACAGCATTCCGCCCAGTCACATTATACTGACAACGGGTGAACCAGTTGTTACGTTTTCCCTTAATGCTGAATGTTAAGCAGGGAATATCAACTACCACTTTTAAGAAAAATAAGAAATAATCATCTATGATGGCAGTAAATATATAACGTAAATTAACGTTTAAATGGAATGTGATAGAGAACACTGAAACATTTTCACCATCACTTACCAGTCAAAGATAATTGAATGTCAAATATGAAATCCAGTCCTTTCCTGCCGTCATGTAAATAAAGGGGCATTATCTCAATTTTCTGCATATGTCATTCCCAAAGCTAGCTATGACACTACTTTTTGTTCGTTTAACTTCAAAAGATAACTGAACTTTTGGGAAACCGAGGGCATATCCTGTTTTTAAAACTGTAATAAGTAAAGCTCCCAGTTATAATAGGAAACTATTGAAATGTAACAATGATGAAATATCAAATCGGTGACTGGCGCTAGTGACAGCACTACAGTCATTGTCGTACTAAAAACAATCGATGATAAAGGTATTTTTATGGTCGTAACAAAACGCTTCAATGACGTAATATCCGGTAGGTTATGTTAGAGACGACACGTACATACAAACTCATTCCTGATTCGTTGTCTCTCCTGGAGTCTCTCATTGGCCACGATGACGGAGTTGATGAGCGCCATGATGGTCGTCTTGTAGGTAGTCAAGTCGGATGTCCGTAACTCGTTAACAAGGAGGCTGAAGCGGTACTGCAGTTTCTTGAATATCTATCAAAATACATAAAAATTACAGCGTTATTTATACTATACTGAAGATTATAAAGGAAGCAATTTTTACTGCCATGTACTTCCAATGAAGGAATTTATAGCAGAGAGAAAAATGCAATGCTGACCTATATAGAGACCCTTTTAGTGTTCTAGTGTAATTTTTGTGACAATCCCAAGACCAAGCTAATACTTTCTCAAGTATAAGAATGTATTTAGTTATAATACAGAGTCGTTGATGTCAATGAAGGACCGAATGCTATGCATTGCTTAACCTTTCCGACAATATGCAACTTGATTGCCTATGATGTTCTAACGTGACAGCACATTTGAGAACGCGTTCGTTCTTAAGCAATTGAACTCCTGAAAATTCTGTTATACACTACTAACCAAAAAGAACCCGCAATGTGATCCTTTCAGAACAGTCTCTTGGTATGTTTTAACTATTCAGCAAACCCATTGAGTGTTCGGGGAAAGAATATTTCCAGTTGCACTATATCTGCATCTATCCTCTTCCTACCTTACAGTTTTATTTTCTGAACCGACTTCTCTTGATTGCCGATAGGATTTACGCTTTTCTTTGCAATTGCCCTCTATGGCCTCATTGTATCGATGTGACGTTTTATTATACACAAAAATAAAAATAAATCTATTCATCAACATGACATGTCGTGCAGGGACACACGCGAATGATTAAACGGTAATTATGTCAATGGAGTCACGTATGTTTAAAAGTATAACGCCCCTAGTAAAATAGGAAAACAATAATTGGGGAAAGCAAAACAATTTTGTTTTTTGTATGACCACCGAAGAGGAGGACAATGAAGGAAACACAAAACCTACTGCAGACCCCATGTAGGTAGGCGCTTACAATCACAGGAGATCGAAATTCTGTCCAAAATGGGTCTACAGTAGGAATATTGTCCATTCAAGCAAAGCGCGAACTACGGGAGCGAAGGAGTGAAACGAACTTTTGTCAAACAAATTTGAATTTAAACATCTAGACTGAAGTTAAACCCTTATTCTGTGTTAATATATAGGCTTTTATCAAATCAAACACTATTTTCCAGCTTCGGGTCAAATAGTCTCCTTCAACCAGACTCAACTTGTCTGCGCAAGCTTCGCCGAACAGAGAAGTGATCAAGCGTCTTGTTGAACGAGATTACGCGTCAAGACGTCATTTTGCGTTACCGCAGTAATTGCTATAATGAAATATGAATTATTGTCTCGCTCAACCAGACGCTTGATCACTCTCTGTTCGGCTTAGCTTGCGCAGACAACAAGAGTCTGGTTAAACGAGACTATATGAATTAAAGAAAAATCATTATCAATGTATGTTTCTATCGTAATATGGATTGCTAGCTTAGGTACATTGTATTTCAAGAATGCATATAACTTTTGACGACAGTCTTGATAAATCATTGAAAGGAATTATTTTATGTTGCCTATAAAGTAATATTTATCCGTCCGACCAAAAAATAGAATACAGTTGTTTACCAAAAATAGTTGATAAAATGTTTTCGCATTGGACGTGTCAGTGTGTTTAGGCTTTATTCTGACTGTAAGCGCTATTTTGATAGAGCAAGTCACGTGTCACGATCATGCAGTAGCATGTTACTTTCTCGACCTTCCGGTTTTGATGTGATTCCTGAATATCACGGACTTAAATACGCCCCAAATGTGACAGTTCTTTTCAGAGAAAACAAACTTTATTTTCGATCTTTGCCGTTTCTGGAAACTACTAAATGGCACTTGGATGTTACTCTGATTTAGCGTCTTTGGAAATGGTGACAATGACAGCGTGATCACAAGGGTCTCTAATCATAACGAAAATGACATATGTGAAACTTTTGGATTTTGTCGGTTAATGTTATATATTTGTAACGTAAATATATGTATCTTACTACAATATGACAGACCTTATAGTTCTCGAGAGCGTCGAGTGTGAGGTAGTAACCGTCTGTAGAGTACACACACAGGGCCGACAACAATTCAAACACCTGCATTTTCACCATCAGGTTCTTCGTCTCCAGCGCTGAAACATAGACAGTCAATGTTTACAGTAGACCTTTTAACTCCTCTCATAAACAGTTGGTTAATAGCTGTATATTCCGGATATTTTACAGCTGAAAACGTAACCATTCTCATACATCTCATAGGTTTAAAAACCCACATGCATATACCTCAAATTTGTTTTTTGAAATCATATTAGATATACAAATAAGACTTAATTGTCTCTATTTAGTTTATCATGAAATTCTACGCATTATTGGATCCTTATACATGCTACACGGAGGCAACTTTACGAGTCGAACTCCCCCGACAACTTATCAGAGAAGTATTGAAAAAGAATCATATGTCAATGAACCCCGGTATGTATTTGGAGATGAGCCTCCTCTGGGCCTGATAACGAGTTCCAGAGTTTGCATGTAATCTGTCGTCTCTGATCAACACACCTGACGAAATACACAAACAAACAAAAAACATCTACACATTCTTCTATGACGTATATAGGTTTGGCTCGTGATAAGTAAACGTGTATCGTGCAAACTTATATATGATCCACGCCTATACGCGTCAGGTGTTTATCGGCGGTTCCTTGCTCAGTGTTAATGTGGGAGAGAGAATCTGCTATATAGATAGTTTATCGCAAAGTCGTCAAACTTATCATGAGATGTTAATTGAAATTATTAGAAATGATATAGATTTAGAACAGAAATTTCGAAACGGCTTACATCACTGCAAAAAACAAAGTTGTCTTCGGGATAATTGAAAAACAGTCGAATGCAGACCTGTGATATATTGTTCTGAAGTAAAATTATCTAGTTGGGGTACAAGCATGCTATTGAATCAGAAGAAGGTTCAGTACCTTTTTATTGGCAGACTTATATACAACAAACACCCATCAGAGGCAGACAAAGCTACCTCTAAAAACATGATTTATTGAGTGTTGGAGATAGGACAAACTCGATGCCTCGCTGTAACCATCGTGTTAACATTCCTTCTTTATCTAAATATACCATCAATCACGTGATGTATCGATACCATTCACTTGGTATACGTGTGTTTGTTTACCGAGGTCAGCTGATGTTTCGCGGGATCCGTGAGAACAATCCCACGTGCCTTTCCGTATTGTTGTTTTGTTTGTGTTACGTTTTGTTTTTGTTAGCTGATTGGTCTACCGAGCAAGAAAAACCACGAGCCTGACCTTGCACAAAGACGGATGATCCATCTTTTCCTGGCAGTAAGACTAAGTCTATAGATATGAAAAGAATCTGCTGGTATATCTTGAAGAAACTTTTTCATTTCCCTTCCAAAAACATTCTGTCGCCACTGTGGTTAAATACAGACTGGTAACTTTATACCTGTACGGCTGGCGGTGAGAGGTACATCAAATGATCTAACTCGTGTATCACGCGATGATCAAAAGATAACGTCAACCGCTAAAATATCCCTATGTCAGTTTGTAAAAAACTGGAAAGGTAACGGCTTGTGATTTAACGTGTCGGAGTATCTTACTCTGTGATATGGTACCAAATTTGATACCACCTTGTTATATATACATGTATTTTAGTTTTGAGAAAACAAAAATACCCCAGAAAACCGTCTGTTTGTGTGTATATCCGTTAAGACCACAGTCTGCATGGTTTCTGTGTAAGACATAGCTCACATTCATCGTCTCCACACGTGCATGCTATGTAGGTATACACGAGCAGAGTTTGAAACTAGACTGGCATGTTTCCCTATGGCATTAATCAATTAATTAACCGAAATTTGATAGAAATGAAAGCATCATAGCACGTAAACAAAACATAAATGGCTGGGTGGGGCGCCTGAGTAACAGGGCTGGATGTTTTGTAATGTATTAAAGATGTATAATATAATCCGTAATATTGTCTATCTTTTTATAATTATATCGATAACTGCATATCATAAAGAACTTCCTTTTTATAATAATATCAATGGACCAACATGCACAAAGATATCAACATGTATATGAAATGTACACCCACATATATATTTGTATCTAACCAATATGTACAAAATATATATCAAATGTAAGAACTAGTATATGACATGAGCCTACGTGTAAACGGCTCGCTGATAGTCAAGTATATCACCTTTCAATAAGCAATTAATGTCAGATATCGAACAGTATTGTAATATATTTTCAATAAATGTCCTCTGCCTGTCACTATATTTAACAAATGATTCCCTTCATTTGGTCAACATGTCACAGAAACAGCCATATGCACGCCTACATTATCGTCACTACTTAGTGTTACGGTGGAGCCTGAATGGAAACCGTTAGAAAGGATAACAGTTTGTAATAAAGTATATATTTCCCTTGTTTTCATTAATAATATCAACTGTTTGTGCGACGTGTGTGACATCGATATATGCGCGAAAACATCTTTCTCCTGACAATTAAACTATTTCTAAGTAATGTTGTGTTGTGATAAGTATATTTATGTAATATAATGTTGTGATAAGTATACCTAAATAATGTAATACTATTACTGTCATAAGTATATCTAAGTAAAGTTATATTTTGATAAGTATATCTAAGTAATGTAATATCGTGATAAGTATATCTAAGTAAAGTTATATTTTGATAAGTATATTTTAGTAATCTAATATCGTGATAAGTATATCTACCTAATGCAATGTCGTGCTACGTATATCTAAGTAATGTAATGGTGTGATAAGTAAATCTAAGTAATGTAATGGTGTGATAAGTATATCTAAGTAATGTAATGTTTTGATAATTATATCTACGTAATGCAATGTTGTGATAAGTATATCTAAGTAAAGTTATATTTTGATAAGTATATCTAAGTAATGTAATATCGTGATAAGTATATCTAAGTAATGTAGTATTGTTCTAAGTATATTTTAGTAATCTAATATCGTGATAAGTATATCTACCTAATGCAATGTCGTTATAAGTATATCTAAGTAATGTAATGGTGTGATAAGTAAATCTAAGTAATGTAATGTTGAGATAAGTATATCTAAGCAATGTAATGGTGTGATAAGTAAATCTAAGTAATGTAATGGTGTGATAAGTATATCTAAGAAATGTAATGGTGTGATAAGTATATCTAAGTAATGTAATGGTGTGATAAGTATATCTAAGTTATGTAATGTCGTGATAAGTATATCTAAGAAGTGTAATATCGTGATAAGTATTCCAAGAAGTGTATTAGTGTGATGAGTATATGAAATGCATGTATAAGTAATGTAATGTCGTGATAAGTATATATCTGAGAAATGGAATGTTGTGATAGATACATGTATGGAAAAAATGTAATAGTCTGATAAGTATATCTAAGTGATGTAATGGTGTGATAAGTATATCTAAGTAATGTAATGGTGTGATAAGTAAATCTAAGTAATGTAATGTTGTGATAAGTTTATAAGTAACGTAGTATTGTGATAAGTATATCTAAGTGATGTAATGGTGTGATAAGTATATCTAAGTAATGAAATGGTGTGATAAGTATATCTAAGTAATGAAATGGTGTGATAAGTATATCTAAGTAATGTAATGGTGTGATAAGTAAATCTAAGTAATGTAATGTTGTGATACGTTTATAAGTAACGTAGTATTGTGATAAGTATATCTAAGGGATGTAATGGGGTGATAAGTATATCTAAGTAATGTAATGGTGTGATAAGTATATCTAAGTAATGCTATATTGTGATAAGTATATCTAAGTAATGTGATATTGTGATAAGTATCTCTAAATAATGCTATATTGTGATAAGTATATCTAAGTAATGTGATATTGTGATAAGTATATCTAAGTAATGTAGTATTGTGATAAGTTTATCTACGTAATGTAATGTTTTGATAAGTATATCTAAGTAATGTAATGTTGTGAGGAATGCAATGTTATGATACATTGTGTCTAAGGAGGATTATTTATCGTTGATACGCATATACAGGGTATGTGTTGGGGGTTTTATTTCTCCTTACGACATATGTAGTGATGTAATACATGTTTTAGAGACAAGACATGGTTCACCAGAGGTTATTACGTCATGTGCGGCGAGGATAGGAGGAGTTATCTCGAATGAGGGGTCAGAAAGAGTATCGTATTTTATGTGAAGGTTTTATTGATTTAACACTTGCTAAACGTTCTTATAAACAACCCACCACCCCATATCAGCAGTTTGTGAATGTTGAACTTGGCATCGATCTCTACAATCGGTATACAGACAAATGAAGCTGGATATTCCTTAGACAAAATAAACCCTCAGAGGCATTTAAATAGTATAAATTGCATATAAATATGCTATATGAATGAGGTTTGCTTGGTTCAAAATACCTGTCCATATCACAGGGACCTGAGAACATGTAACAGCTATATGTGGACCTAAACTATAAGGTGTTCAGAGTAATTTTACATGTTTTATTGGTTTAGATCGACTTTCAGTAAAACTGCCACCCCAATGGTTATAGATACGAGAATATGTACATTTGTAATCATTGAGGGCTGTATTTTTACCGAAAGTCGATCTTAACCCTTTAAACATGTAAAATTACTCTGAACACCTTAGTTTAGGTCCAAATAAAGCTGTTACAAATTCGCAGGTCCCTTTCGTCTATAACTCTCTTTCATCATAACTCGGACACCTACAGCTCCAGACATGTACGTACCGCATGTTGTATAGGGGAGACACAGTGGGGATTATGAATCACCGTCTTAGTTGTTAGTGTTATCGTCAAATAAGTATATGTGTAGATAGGGTGAACTGTCAGTGAATATTCATCGCTACAGCTAAAAACAATGGCGTAGTACGCAAAACTTTTGTTCGATTTTAATTGGAAATACACATGTGAACATTCCACACAAAACTGCGGGTAACCAACACGCTTTTCCCCATGATATCCCTTAATTATTCGAATATCCATTTATATGTATTGTGCTGAGGCGAGAGCGAATAACTTCTGAATAATGCGGAGCTTACATAGACTACGTAACACTGAGGTACAACGTTAACCTGAGGCTTCAAAACGAGCAGACCGTTAAAGAAATTGTGGTCGTAACCCAGATTTAACACACGTAGATGCTGTGCATATTAACAGTGGCCTTTGTTGTGTTATTTATAGGGGCTATCTAAAATCTCAATGCGCAACACTGCACATTTACACATTGAAATGTTTAAAACATATTTTTTAATTTCTTGAGGCTTTATTGATTCGCGGTTCTAGGAAGTGGGGAGCCCAACTGCCTGACATATTTTTGTTTGAGGACTTTTATCTCCATTAGGTCAAATTAATAAAACCCTTTGCATGATTTATGGCCAGTTAATGATTTTACAAGAATTTGCTTTAAAAGAAAAATGTCATAGTATGTTGTGCCTCTATCAGGAACAAAACAGAAACATTAATTGTGATTTTTGATATAATTTTGTGCCTCTATCAGGAACAAAACAGAAATATTAATTGTGATTTTTGATATAATTCTGAAGTCTCTCGGTCGGTACATATGTAGCACATGGTATTTGCGTTTAGCTAAAATTTAAGTGGTTTAAGAAATATAGCAGTTACGGAATAGATGTATGCGAAATTAAAATGCTCAGCGTTTGTGTCCTACAAATAAATATTGTTGTAAATCTTCAATTTGGAGGTAATAAACGATGGTAGGACAGGAAGTTGCCGATGACGCTACATTTGTAGCAGCATGTGTGATAACAGTTCAGAAGCATGTATGTGCAGATTGTCTCATCTAATCGGAGCAATTAAGTTGTTTAAAACAAAATAACACTTCACGTCAACAGTAGCTATACACACATCTGACCTAACGTACCAGGATACACCGCGGAGATCAACGGGAGTCTACCGCCATGCACTTAAAAACCACCACCGGTCGAGGTGCCCACTTACGTTCAAGTCTACATTTCCGAGAAAATGATCGCAACTTCGAAATACTTCAAACACGTATCTAACATTCCTTAGCCATGTACCTACATCCTCGCCATTGATGTAAGCTTTGGTTTGAATGTTATATCCGTATTACAATGTACCTTCTATGAGATTGAAACTATTGGAGTGTATTATCATGATTTCACAATGGGGGAGAGGTTGTTTGTATTCGGGGTGAAGCAAGAGGTATACTCGCAGGTCCTCAGTGTGTTACACCATGTATTTTTTTTATACTTTGATAATATTGCGGTAAAGGGTTATTTCTTCTTTTTTTTTTGCTATTTCTTCTTTTATTTACTTAAAGGCCCACAAACCTTTCCCAAATTCTGCCCAGACGTCCTCTCCAGGTACTGGATGGTACAATGGGGTCAGATACACGCGCGCGCTGTGGGTGGCTGCGTTATTGCTAATACGAAGTAAAATGTCCTGAGTATCAATTCTGTGAAAGCTACACTAAACAATGTGTGTTGGTCTTTTTCTCTTTTCAAACTGTTCAGAACGAACTGTGTTGGCCTCTTTCGACAGTCACAAGTTAAGGAAGAACAACACTGCACTGACCTAAACAGTCGTCCGTTGATGACGTCAGCAAGAAGTCGACAAATGATGATGTCAGCAGACAGTCTGTCATTGATGACTAAACATATGTCCTTCGACTCCATGACCTATAAATACCGGGGTTTGAACCCTGACCACAATGAAGGCCTTAGACATGTAATGCACGTGTTGTATATAGTTAAGTGTAGAACACGCTTGAGATCGCTACACAGTGCTTAGTGAGTCATTGAAATATTTTTCAAGCCAGGAATAGTTATTTTGTTAACTAGTATAGGTAGCTAGGTGTTCTATCTATTAGTGTGTAGCCAGGCTTCACCGATCTCAAGAAATATATACGGCTGTACTGGTCCGTACATTACGTGTGTACGCGTCGGTAGTTATTGTACTACGGAGTAATGTGAAGCTGTTTTGATTATATTAAAACGTTAAATAGCTGTATGGCTGTATTCGTGAAAGGCTGATATAAAATTCCACTGTTTTACTTGTGGTTTTAACTCACAATTATTCAGTATGTGGGTCATGGGGAAAATATAAAAATACAGTACATATTATATGTTTCCTGAATTTGTATACACATACCCTTATTGTTCTTAGCGATATACCACAGTTCTTTGTTTTCAAAGAGGTTACACACGTGTAACTTAACTGACCGAATATTTGGCAAATCTATTAGCTTTAATCTACGTATCGGCAATGGAAACGTGAAAAATAATTGGGGTCGAAATAAATTTACACCTTATCTCGGCAATTAATGTAACCGAGCGTTAATTATATTCATACCATGAACAAACTACGGCGCTTAATCCTGAAAGTGAATCAAAATTACATTCAGCAGTTTGTTTAGAGTCTTGAAAATAAAACTTTCTGTAATAATTCTGTGGGGGGTTTTGGTGGTTTTTTTAATAGACTGGGAAGGGGTTAAGATTAAAACACCTACCGGAAGCGAACCTCCTGCCGAACAGATTATCATTACGGCCCTTGAGAGTTAGGAGACAGTCTAGTCCACTTTGGGAGTTGACCACCTCCCTGATACACATAATACATTCCATCCTTAGGACCATGTCCGAGAGGTGAGTCCCGCCAATCTCGCCGAGTTTCTTCAGGCACTGAAACAGGAACCCGAGACCGTCAAACTCCAGGAACTCCGACATCCAGTCCCGGTCATTTCGTTTGATGCACCGTCGTAATTTGGCCAGGTTGGCGATTGTCGGGTTCCGGATCCATAAAAGAAAGTTAACAGCGTCCCCGCTCCCGGCCCCCCTGTCCGGGGAACTCTCATCCTCGGAGTTCCCTAGGTCTAATCCCACAACAAATCCATCGGAACGGTGTCGCTGGACCCGCTTCTGTTTCCGTTTGTTGGCGAATCTGCTTGCTTTGGTGACTTTGGTCACTCCGTTTGACTGTTTCGGAGTGTCCATCTCTGAAGTATTGCCTGTATGAAGTCTACCAAAAACAACCATCCACTGTTCGCGTGATGGTCCCAACACACAGTAGAAACCACACGGTATGCATGTGCGCAATAGACAGTTTTGAAGATGAGTTGTTGAGAAGTTCGCAAAGCCGATGATTCTAGTAGTATACACAAGACTACAGCCAGGCGGCGGGGAACATCCAGTGTTGTCGGTGCGTGATAATATCGCACATTTACAAACAGGAGTGTGCACACACTACGTACCGGCACGTGTATATATATCTGTTATGCGGCACATCGCGGCAATTTTGATACAAACAATACATGTACTTGTATTAACATACATATGCTTTTACCTTTATACCGAGATCTCTGGTATACAGTGGTGTAATTGATGACAGACCGATCAACAAGCGCCACTCGGGCGACTACCGACATTTATCCTGCATCGATACACTCGGAACTTCTCTTACCCAGAGGAACCTGAGAATTAGATAAAGTAATTACTATGCTGGGACCTTTACTGATGGCGGTTCAGACACTCGGCTAAATGTCAACCCCATGGATGACATTTTAGGGGTTACATTTTAGGTATATACCATCCTTAGGAACGATATTTTAAAGATTTTTTATATGAACCCCGGGAAAACGTCAAATATTTCCTCTCTCTCCTTCAAAATAGGTGGAAGCATAATCACGTTAACGAATTCTCAAGTTTCATTTCCGCCTATAAGAAGTAAGAAAAGTAATTGTTCCCTCTACAGTGCCATAACACATGCGTACAATGGGGCCAAAGCTCTAGTTTCACCTGTCTCCAAAACTGACCGAAAGTGAGACGGGACCTTTGGGCTGGCTCACTCTGCCGCGACAGCAGGAAAAATGGTTACGCATTCCACAATTTGATATAGCCAGGTGTTGAGCTAAATCCCTAAAACGTCTGATAACACTCCGTCATAATCGGTATATGTCGCATGCATACACATTCAGTCTTAACACGCAGGTCCCTGTGTTCTTACCTGCCATGTGTATCAGCTTGCGAGGTGATCACTGTTTGGTAAATAACGAGTATTTTATACATGAGCACAGGTTTTCAGCAGTTTTTGTAAAACAAATGAACAAATCGATGACAGGAGGTGGTTATCATTACGTAATCACGCGGCGTCTATTCACAGCGCTTTTATGTTGGTATAACGTTGCCATGACACGGGGGATCCGGAATTTTTACATAGTGGGAGGCGCATGTCCACGATCGTATAAAGGCATTGGTCAAGGGGGCGGTAACCCCTTGGTCAAAGTCTAGGGACAAAATTTCTGGTGGGTGGTCTACTTTGCATATGCCGGGTCCTGTATTCATGAAACTATCTGCGTACTCAAGCATGTACTCTGTGTTCAATCCCACTTTCTTGTCACTGGCTCAAAATCATGTCACGCGGTCAGAAAATCAAATTTACACATCGTAAATGGTATCATTCTTCATACGGTCGTAGACGTGCGCCTCCCACTAAGTCTCTCCGAAAATCCTTTAGATCATTGACAAAATGCAAATTTGATTTATTTATTACCGGCATAAGCAATTAAGTTGGAGCACAAAACTTGAGTTTAAGCATGATAACGGTTTTAATGAATACGGACCCATGTATAATGAGCCCCCTCGTAAAACAATTAAACGATATTTAAACAGCAATCTATTGAATCATATACCGTCAATACCCTTCATTCGAATTAAACATTTCGTTTTCATAGACACATTGGAAGTGTTGTCTATTCGCTCAATGGACATGCTACAAACCTAATTTTGTATTGGGTCCTGATAAGTTAATTGATCATTGCAAATTGTCACTGAATATATTTTCAAATTTTAAGCCAAACAACACATTCTGCAGTCTTCATAATAGCAAAACATTGTCATTTTGTTACTAATACCCTCAACTTTATTTTGCACAATCTTTTAAATACCAATAGACTAAATAGTTTAACAAATTTTAGCAGTATCTGTTTATGTTTTATTCATATTTCATTTCCCTTTTTTATGAAATTTAATTACCTGTTGATAATATGTTTTTGTAATAAGTAAACCATTTGCCTTGGCAGAATAAAAATGAAACTTACAGTAAATGGGTAAGGTTTTAATGACTCAAAACAAAAGATGACACATTCAATAGACAAGTATAACAAGTGCTGATTGTTACGGCAGACGTTAAAACAAGTCCCCAAAACGACCCCACAGTCGTAAATGATGCTAATTGAGGTCACTGTACTGTTCGTACCCACGTACCAAATTTGGTCGAAATCTGCCAATATCTAAATTTCGACTACTCAGAGGCCATGGCAGCCATCATGGATGTGCAATGGTAAAACAAAGGTGTCTTGCACATCATCTCGCGCCCACCAATACGCATGCTTATTGGAATACGACTTGTAGTTTCGGAGAAAATGTGTGGAAAAGCTTCGGCGGAGGAAGAAAAAAAAGAAACGGGGTTATTACATTTCAATCATTTTCGCGGCGTATTTCGTGTTATGTCTTTCAGTAAGTGTGTTTAACATCATCATCTTTCTTGGGTGCTGCTTTGCGTACATACCCACATCTTTATTTACAATTATGTGATTGTCTTTTTGAAAGTAAAACAGCACAAGAACATAGAACCATCCTCTCCCATTGTGCTCTGTGATGTAGTTATAATGAACGTCAATGAGGAATTGAGCCGTTTGAAACCACCTGACGTGCCAGATGTCAAAAGACAAAGGTATAGAACATTGCAGGTATTTTGGTAACATCAATTGACACGTCCTGGAATCTCAAGGAGTCCAAGAATAGCATCATGTCAATCAGACCGACAACTAAACATCTGCTGCCATCATGTCAAGTTTTGCTCAACTTGATGCCGATGATATCGATATGTCCTCCGAATGCACCTTCCTTATAGCTTCCACTGATTTCGTCATCCAGCTGTTCCAAATACGTAGGAATCAAACCCATAGCACCATGGTATCCGCAATGTCCCAGCGTTTCCAAATACGTAGGTATTAAACCCATAGCACCATGGTATCCGCAATGTTCCAGCGTTTCCAAATACGTAGGAATCAAACCCATAGCACCATGGTATCGGCAATGTTCCAGCGTTTCCAAACACGTAGGAATCAAACCATAGCACCATGGTATCCGCAATGTTCCAGCGTTTCCAAATACGTAGGAATCAAACACATAGCACCATGGTATCCGCAATGTTCTAGCGTTTCCAAACACGTAGGAAAAAATAACACACATAGCACCATGGTATCCGCAATGTTCCAGCGTTTCCAAATACGTAGGAATCAAACACATAGCACCATGGTATCCGCAATGTTCCAGCGTTTCCAAACACGTAGGAAAAAATAACACACATAGAACCATGGTATCCGCAATGAAATGAAGAAAAATCTTTTACAAGATACAAAATACAAGATTTTTTTATTTAGCGTCGCATATCTAAAACAACAAATATTAGTACTCTAGTGCTATTATTGCGACAAACAATGGCTATAAATAAGAAATAACATGAATAAACAACATGTAGGTAATTTCAAAGCTATTTAAGAAATGGCAAGCAAATACATGTATCACAGGCTAATTAAACAAATAAAAACAAGAAAGGTACAAAAACAAAAACAAAAGGGGTTTTAAATTCAGCTCCGATGTATCAGCGGGAAAGTTGCTCCTCTGCGCTTGCCGTCTATAGTATCTGACTGGATTGGGCTAGTGAACTGAGGTTTGCGACTTTCCCCATATTATGAGTTTTTGAGAACAAACTTTCGAAATCAGACTCACTTCAATGCTAATCGGTTTCGTTCAAATTATATTCTCCAATGCGTAACTGCAAATCATAAAATATGTTTGAACATAGAGCCAAGTCAAGTCAATTTTGTTTATTATAGTGTCATATATCCCAATTACATCGTACAAGTATATAGTTACACAGTATAAAAAAAACATACAGTTACATGACAGGGATCAATCATCTTAATGTAAAAATATATAGATCATATCATAATTTTGTTAAGAACAGCTATTATACATAATAAATTAATAAATTAAAACAAACTATCACATGTGCCAATCCAGAGAGCAGGTGATTGGGACAGCCCCTACCTAACAAACTCCTGGATTTTGCACTAGGTTTCTTTTACATTTACTACCTTAAATATTTTTGTTTGTATACATATATGTATTAATTATCAGCAGTAATATATGTAATTGGATTTCATAATTAATGAGGATATAATTGATAAAAACTGAGGATGCTGTTGGTGATCATGATAATTATTTAGGTCAGCAATGATAATATTGATGATGATTTTTATAATTGATGAGGATGATTATGTATTATTGTTGACAAGGATTGATTATAATGATAATGTTGTAGATGAATGAATTATATTTATCATGATGATGATGATAGTTTAATGAGTAGGAATGCTGAAAGTTAATTGTTGAAATGTATGATGTAATCATTGTTTGATAGACGTGAATGATAAGGATAGATAAAGTTGATGAGGAAACTTGTTGATGATGATGATGATGCTGATGCTGTTGATGACGATGATGATGCTGCTGCTGCTGATGATGATGATGATGATGATGCTGATGATATGATGATGATGATGATGATGATGATGATGATGATGATGATGATGATGATGATGATGATGATGATGATGATGATGATGATATGATGATGATGATGATGATGATGATGATGATGATGATGATGATATGATGATGCTGATGATATGATGATGATGATGATGATGTTTATTATGATATTGGAAGTGTATGAGGATGTTGGTTGCTTTTATGCTGATGATTTATTTGGAAAAATAAAACAATTACAAAAAAAATTCCTGGATTTTGTACTTACATATTATATACTATAATAGTAAAAAGGTTTCTTTTACATTAACTGCCTTAAAACAGGATGTCTTTAAAAAAAAAAAGGATTCGGAAAATGATAAATAGATACAATCTTTGCACAATTAGCTTTTTACTGATACTTGTGTAAAAATATCCGCTTCTTCACCAAAAAAATAAAGCACGCAACTGGCGAAATACTAATACATATACAGGTAACGATTCCATGTCGTTACATGAAAGAAAGCCGTCATGTAAAAAGTGCCTCCATTTGGTGTCAATATTGATGATGCGATCCTGTTGTGCTTTACTGTATCGCAGACAAGAACATCCGGACATTGAGTTATATATTGTCATGTGTGGTGACAGTCTAATCTTATACAGAAGGATGGTATTGCAGTCTAGAGCAACATTGAGCAAAGGATAACATGAAAAAATGAACCAGGCACATTATTAAGAATTTATTTGAAATCGAAATATTTTGCTGGATTTGATTATTTTTTCTCATGTCTAAAAGTATTTTCATTTAGGTCCATGGTAAGCGGTGAATGTTTA